TTCTAGGACTTTTGTTGTTCCATATGAATTTTTGGACTGTTTTCTCTATTTCAGTGATGTAGGTCATTAGGATTTTCATAGGAATTGCATTGAATTTGTATATTCATTTTGTCAGTATTACCATTTTCACTATATTAATTCTGCCTATCCAAGAGCATGGGAGGTCTTTCCATTTCCTAGTGTTTTCTGCAATTTCTTTCTTTAACTTTTTATAGTTTTCATTAAGTAGTTCTTTTACATCTTTGGTTAGGTTAATTCCTAAATCTTTTATTTTTTGGGAGGTTATTGTGAATGGGGTTGCTCCCTTTATTTCCCTCTCTTCTTGTACATTGTCAGTGTACAGGAAGGCAACTGATTTTTGTGGGTTGATTTTGTATCCTGCTACTTTGCTGAAGTGATTTATGATTTCTAAGAGTTTGGGGATGGAGTTTTTGGGATGGTGAAGGTATAGTATCATGTCATCTGCAAAAAGGGATAGTTTAACTTCTTCTTTCCCTATGTGGATCCCTTTAAGGTCTTTTTCTTGCTTTATTGCCCTAGCTAAGATTTGCAGGACTATATTGAAGAGGAGTAGAGAAAGTGGGCATCCTTGTCTTGTTCCAGACTTTAGGAGAATTGGTTGTAGCTTTTCCCCATTAAGTATAATATTGGCTATTGGTCTGTCATAAATGGCTTTTATTGTTTTAAGAAATGTTCCTTCCATTCCTATTTTCTCCAGAGCTTTTAGCATGAATGAATGTTGAATTTTGTCAAAGGCCTTTTCTGAATCTGTGGCGATATTCATGTGATTCTTGACCTCGGCTCTGTTGATGTGTTGGATTCCATTTATTGACTTAAGCATGTTAAACCATCCCTGCATCTCTGGGATGAAGCCTACCTGGTCATAGTGTATGATTTTTTAAAATGTGTTTCTGGATTCTGTTAGCTAGAATCTTGTTAAGGATGTTTGCATCTGTGTTCATCAAGGAAATTGGCCTGTAATTCTCCTTTTTGGTTGGGTCTTTGCCTGGTTTGGGGATGAGTGTGATATTGGCTTTGTAGAATGAGTTTGGGATAGCTCCCTCCTTCTCTGTTTCTCTGAAGAGCTTGAGGAGTATGGGTATTAGTTTTTCTTTAAAGGTCTTATAGAATTCTGCTGTGAATCCATCTGGTGCTGGGCTTTTGTTTGTTGGAAGACTTTTGATAGCTTTCTGTATCTCCTTGTAGGATATTGGCTTTTTTACTTGAATTACTTCTTTTTGCTCAGTTTGGGCAACTTGTATTTCTCTAAAAATGCATCTTTTCTGCCAGGTTTTCTTCTTTAGAGAGTATAACTTTTGAAAGTAGTCTGTTAAGATTGTTTGGATATCTTGGGTACATGTTGTGATTTTTCCCATGGCATCCCTAATCCTGTTAATATGGGTTTCCTCTCTTCTTTTTTTAATTAATCTTGCCCACGGTCCATCAATTTCATTTATTTTTTCAAAGAACCAGCTTTGTGTTTGTTTAATTTTGGCTATACTTTTCTGAGTTTCTAATTGATTAATCTCTGCTCTTAATTTGGTTATCTGGCTCCATCTAGTAACTTTAGGTTCCATTTTTTCATGTTTTTTCTAGCTGTTTTAATTGCAACATGAGATTATTTACTTGGTCTGTCTCTGTTTTCTTGATGTGGGCACTGAGGGCAATAAATTTGCCTGTCTGGACTGCTTTTGCTGTGTCCCACAAGTTTCTTTGGGAGGAGTTTTCATTACATTGAGTTGTAGGAAAATTTTTATTTCTTCTTTGATCTCTTCCATTATCCAGGCATTGCTAAGGAGTGTGCTGTTCAATTTCCATATATTAGAGAAATTTCTGAGATATGCTTTGTTGTTGAGAACTAGCTTGATTCCACCTTGGTCAGATAGGATTCAGGGGATTATGTCGATCCCTTTGTATCTGCATAAGTTCCTTGCATGAACTATGATATGGTCTATTTTGGAGCAAGTTCCATGAGCAGCTGAGAAGAATGTGTACTGTGTTGTTTTTGGGTGAAATACTTGGTAGATGTCAGTTAATTGCGCTTGAAGTATGGCCTCACTTAATTCGGTAGCTTCTTTGCCAATCCTCTGGTTGGTAGACCTGTCCTTTGGTGAGAGTGGGGTGTTAAAGTCTCCTAGTATTATCGTATTGGGATTTGTTTTATTCTGTATGTTTGAGAGTATTTGCTTAACATATCTGTGTGCACCAATGTTTGGGGAATATAAGTTGATGATGGTAATATCCTCCTCTTGGATTGTTCCCTGTATTAATATGTAGTGTCCGTCCTTGTCTTTCTGTACTGATTTTAATGAAAAGATTATTTTGTCAGATATCAGGATAGCTACACCTGCTTTCTTACTGGGGGCATTTGATTGGTAGATCCTTTTCCAACCCTTTACTCTGAGTTTGTTTGTATGTTTGGCTGAGAGGTGGGTCTCCTGTAGGCAACAGATGGATGGGTCATGTTTTCTGATCCAGTCTGCAGTTCTTTTTCTTTTGATTTTCTTTTGATTCTTTTGTTTTGGTATGTCTGTCTTTGCTTGGTTGCTGTTTCTGTATTGGTAGAGAGTCTGTAGCTGATCTGGGTTCTGTTGGGGGCCTACCTCCAGCTGCTGGTCTGACCTACATAGGATTCTCGGCTCTCTGCTGTAGATCGCTGGCAATTCCTGCATTTAGAAGGGTTGAGCAGCCTAGACTGCTCGTGTTTGCTCCTTAAGGTGCTCTTGGCAAGATCGGATGTTCTGGATGCACTCTCCCAGATGCTGGAGTCTGCTATGGGCTCCTAATGTTTGTTTTTTTTTTGTTTGTTTTTTTGGCGGGTTTTGGGCTTGAACTCTGAGCTTGGGTGCTGTCCCTCAGCTCTTCAGCTCAAGACTGGCACCCTACCATTTGAGCCACAGCACCACTTCTGGCCCTTTCTGCTTATGTGGTCCTGAGGAATCAGATCCAGGGCCTAATGCACCCAAGACTAGCACTCTACTGCTGAGCCACCTTACCAGCTTGAGCTCCTGCCTATCATCAGGTGCTGGTGGCCAGTGTTGTCCAATTCCCAGCCTAGAATATGTGGGTCGGGTCCTGGTGGGGTTTGGGCTTCTCTTGTCCTGAGCCCCCAGGTCTTTTGTTGTCACAGATGTGCTTCGCAGCGGTGCAGTTCCCTGTTTTTCTCCCCACTGCTGAGGCATATGCTCAGCTTTTTTTTTTTTTTTTTTTTTTTGTCGGTCATGGGGCTTGAACTTCTGGGCCTGGGCACTATCCCTCAGCTCTTCAGCTCAAGGCAAGCACTCTGCCACTTGAGCTACAGCGCCACTTCCGGTTTTCTGTTGGTTTATTGGAGATAGGAGCCTCAAGGTCTCTCCTGCCCGGGCTGGCTTTGAACCGTGATCCTCAGATCTCAGCCTCCCGAGTAGCTAGGATTACAGGCATGAGCCACCAGCGCCCGGCTGTGCTCAGCTTTTGACTTCAGTTGGGAGGAGTTGGTTGTGTTGCTCAGGCACTGGATCCCCAGGCTTGGTCCCGCCCTCCTGCCTGGGGCACACTGGTTGGGCCTGTGCTGCTGTGTATAGCACCTACTTTATTCAGCCTGAGGTACACAGTTCAAATTTCTTATACTGTTGGGTGTCTTGACCCAGGGGCGCTGTTCCTGGCTTGGGCATTTAAGCTCCCTTCCAGGGGTGCTCTTGCTCTAGCCTGGCCAGCGGAGTGTGCCCCTGGGGCTGGTGGAGTTCTCGAACAGTTCCCAGTTTTAGTGGGTCCTGTGGTCCAGTTGTTGGGGTAGGGAGTCTGGGTCAGGGTCTGGGGATTCCCACCAGCTCTGGTCGCCCTTGATGGATACACTATCCCCTGTGGTGTACTCACCCTGCAGCTAGATGTTTCTGTGTTGATGTAGGTCATTAGTTGCCATATCAATCAGAGTTCAGTTGGGGTGGTTGCAGGTTGGGGTGGGCGGTGGTGGCTCTGTGTGATTCTCTTCTGTCTCTGCCTCCATCAATCTTGATGCTGTCGGGCCCATGCCGTGGTATGGGCCTCTGGCCTCTGCCCCAGGTGTGGGGGCGGGGCCTCCGTACAGGTTCTGAGCACTGGGATTTGTCTCTGTTTACACTCTCCGGATCAGCACCAGTTCCTTGCAGGTCTTCTGCTCTGGTGTTCTGTGGGCGTCCCCTGTAGCTCTGGGGCTCCCATCGTGGGGCGGAGTTCCTGGCCCGGGGGTTACTCATCGCTATGGGTGGGTCTGACACAGGTACCTCAGGCGGCTTCTGTGCAGGTCATCTGCAGACAGCCCCCTGTGTCTCTGGAACTCCAGCATCCCCCACCAGACTGGCTGGCAGCGACTTGGCATGCTGCTGCAGGGCCAGTAAAAATTGGGGGTGTAGCTCTGGGGTTCCCACCCTGGGGTTGAGCGGCTTTGGCGGGTTGGAGCCTCTCTGCTCAGTTGGAGAGTGAGGGGTGAGGGTGGGATCTTTGTGCAGACTCCTGGCTGGTAGGTTTCTCTGTTCGTGGCGATCAGCGGGTCTGCAGACCAGTACCTCAGGCGGCTTCTGGGCAGGTGATCTTCAGGCAGGCGTCTGTTTCTCTGGAACTCTGGCATCTCCCGCCAGGCCCGCTGGGCATGACTTGGTGCGCTGCCATGCGGCCAGCAAAAATTCGGGAAGGGGTCTTTGCTCTTCTCTGTTCTCAAATTCTTTTTCTCCCTTTCTTTTTTGTTATTTTCTACCTCCTGTTTTTCTCTGGGTGTTCGTCTTCTTGTTGTTGTGGATCTCTTGGGGAGATTAAGCATTGGAACTCTGAACTCTCTTTTGGTTGGGAAGAGCTGTGGAATTTCCCTACTGCCCGTCGCCGTCTTGGTCCCCCCGCCCCCCTTCTAAATGTCTTCTAAAAGATACTTTTCTGCTGAGTGGTGGACTACTTTATAGAACACTAAAGTTAGAGCTCAGCTGAGATTTCTTAACTACAGAAAAGACTATACCATCTGATCAACATCCACAGAGAAAGTGAAATGACACCTACCTGTCTGAAAGATGGCCAAATACCAGACCTCCCAGCAGTGACCCAATCATAAATACTACTTGAACTATAGATTTGGATGACTGGTACTCACATACTAGGTCCCACTGGAAGAGAAAGGAAGAGAGAGCGGTGTCAGGAGAGTTGAAGCCTTCAGTGGAAACAGACTGTAAGCGCCTTCCCGTGAGGGAAAATGTGCTGTGGTATGTGGATCCTGCTTCCTGTCCATTTCCTGTACAGCCACTCTCCTCTGCCAGTCCACACACCTTCAAATTCTCAGCTCCTTTCAACTCTTCAGGTTCTGTCTCTGTCTTCAAAGTTTCCATGGCTCTTTGCTCTTTTCTAACTCTTTCCTTCTCTTTCCCATCTCTCTTCTCTTTCCTAGTTCTCTCCACCTTTCTTTCACAGGTGCTCTCTCTTCTAACTCTCTCTTCTTGTTTCTAGCTGTTTTCTCTCTTTTCTAGCTCTCACTCTTTCACAGCACTCTCTCTTTCCCAGCTCTTTCTCTTTTCCACCTCTCTCTTTTCCCATCTATTTCCTAGGTTTTTCCCAGGCATTTCCCAACCACATGGAGGACCAAGATGGCCTGGTGCCGGCCAGAAGAATGAATAAACCTACCCCTTACCTGAATACCACGTGTGTGGTGCTGTTCTTACTCAGCTACCTCTTTTCAAAAACCTAACATAAGGGGCTAGGAAGGTGGCTCAGTGGTAGAGCGCTTGCCTTGCATGCCTGAGTCCCTGGGTTCGATTCCTCAGCACCACATAAGCAAAAAGAAAAAAGCCGGAAGTGGTACTGTGGCTCAAGTGGTAGAGTACTAGCCTTGAGCTGAAGAGCTGAGGAACAGAGCCCAAGCCCAGAGTTCAGGCCCCATGACCGGACCCCAAATATAAAAAAGAGTAACAAGACAAAAACCTAACATAAATGGTGCCGGCACACCAGGATAGGTGGGATTCTTCTCCGATTTTTTTCTTTTTTTCTTTTTTTTTCTTCCCTTTTTGCCCTGAGTAATACCCACAGTTCTAATGGCCTTTTTGCGCAATGGTCTGTGTGCTGCGGACATAGCGCATTGCTACCATTGCTGGCCTTCACGTCCACATCCACATCACTTCTATACTCTGCTGAGTGAAACTACTCTCTATGGCTCTCTGTTACTCAGTCTCTGTGAGGACGTGGTGCCACGCCACTAAGCTCCTGCAGCCTTTAGCTGAAAGGCCTGTCACCTCTAAAGCCGAGGAAGCTTGGCTTTGGGGGCTTGGCCATTTCTCTCTAGAGGGCTCTGGGGAAGTCGGGACGCTGCTTCTGCCTGGTCAGCTCTCCTTCACTCACCAGATTGACTCTCCAACACATTTAATGGGGTGCTGCGAATCACGCCTGAGCTGTGGAACCCCTTTGAAATGCCTCCTGCACTCCCTGGAAGGCCAGAGCGCCTCATTTTTATGCAATTCTCAGATGTAGACAGTTTTTGCCACTGCAATGGTAAATGGTCAGAAGTCTGCTCACTTTCAGGCTCTCTTTGCTCTCTCTCTGCTATTCATTTCCAACTTTCCCTATCTCTACCTTTCTCTTTTCTACATTTTGGCTTGTGCCCTGAAGAGTGCGACGCAGGCTAGGTCCCCACGACCCCCCTTTTGGATCCCTCTCTAAGGCTAGCCAATGTAGGCTTGATCTATTTGTTCAGGGTTTCTTTGCATTTTTTCAGAAATTCGCCATCTTGAGTTCACCATCTTGGCCACATGGTGGGTTAAGGGTTTGGCTCAATCTGGCCCTTAACCTTCCACCAAGCTTACTACTCCATCCAGCTATTCTAAGGTGCCTTGCTAACAAGGTGCTCTTTTCACAGGACCTGGTAACTGAGGCCCAACCATTTGATGTGCTTTGTTAGCAAAGATGTCTAAACATTGTTGTCAAAATTTTAGGTTTTGAGTTTTGCCTTTTTTGTTTTGTGTTGTGTATTCTACTGACTACATGGTTCTGAAAAACTGGGCACATCTGTGCTAAAATTCTCATCACATCTCATGAGTTTTGTCATTTCAGAATATTTGTTGGCAATTCTTAATAAGGACCAGGTAAGCTCTATGTATTCTATTTGATCTCCTTGTTGCTTTAATTGGAAATAATAAAGGACATTTGTGGCAAAGATTTCAGTTCAAACCAACCGAGGCTGAAAAATCCCTAAGACTCCATCTCCCAAATAACCTGCAAAGAGCCAGGCTGGAAGCATGCCTCAAGACTCTTATCTCTAACCAGCCAAACACTGGAAGGGCTATTGTAACTCAACGTGGTAGAGCACTAGCCTTGAGCAGAAGTGCTCAGGGACAATGCCAAGGCCTTGAGTTCAATCCTCCTTGAATACCAACTGGGATAAGCCTTCCCAGCAACGAGCACCTAGACTCAGCCAGTCTGGGGAACAAAGGAACATGGAGAGGAGTAAGAGGTGATGTCACATCAGCTACTTTGTGCCTGCCCTTTCAATATTAACCAGAGCCGGGAGGTCAGTAGAAGTAAGAAGCCTGCCCATCCAATGTCTATACCTGTCTACCTATTAACTGAACAGGAATTTATATTCTTGCCTTTGTCACCTGACTTCTCTACCTAGTGGCCAGATGTCAGAAGTAGCTAGGGACCTTTCTATCAACATTTTCAGCCCCAAGTCCTTCCTCTTGCCATTTACTTGCTCTCTAGTATTTTTTTTCCAGCCCCTCAATGCTCATGAGACTTCTCCAGACTTCATCTAAGGACTCATGCCACCAAGGGACAGCTGCTGCTCACTGCCTTCTCTGGGAGGGGACCAAATTCCAGCCTTTTACCCATATTGTTTATGCCCCTTGTCAGCAGGAAGTAGCCAGAGAGAATCCTCGCTGTATTTCAAGATTATTAAAAGGCTGGAATGTAAGGTCTGCTCCTGGATGGCAAGCAGACTCCACCCTCCTCACAGCAAAGTCTCCACCCAGTACCTGCGTTACCTAGGCAACTGGCACACCTGGAAGAGGTCACATCTGCATCTGCTGAGGTCACATCTGAATTTGATGTGGCCACACTGTTTTCCACCCATACCCTAGATAAGGCCAGCCCAGGCCCAGATGCCCTCTCTCTGCTTTTTTCTAGCTTTCTCAGCTCTTTCCTTCTCTTCTCTTTCCCAGCTCCCTTCTCTTAGCTCTCTCTTTTCCACCTTTCCCAGATGCTCTCTTTTCTAGCTCTTTTCTCTCTTTTCTAGCTCTTGTTCTTTCCCAGCTCTCTCTCTCTTTCCCAGCTCTCTCCCTTTCCCAGCTCTTTTTCTTTCCCACCTCTTTTTTCCCAGCTCTTTCCCAGGCCTTTCCCAACCACATGGAGGGCCAAGATGGCCTGGTGTCAGCCAGAATGATGAATAAATCTACTACCCCTTACCTGAAGAAAAAAAAAAGGTTTCCATGGCCTTATCTCTCTATTCTCCTCAGATGACCAACTCTATCTATTGCATGCATTAGCTTCTACACACATTCTGTGTGTGTGTGTGTGTGTGTGTGTGTGTGTGTGTGTGTCCATCCTGGAACTTGAAGTCAGTGTAGGGCCTGGGTGTTGTCCCTGAATTTTTTGTTTCTCTTTTTCTCCAGTCTACTGCTTTTCGCTTGAACCACATGTTTTTCAGGTTTTCTTATGGAATTTCCTGGCTTGGATGTCTTTGAACCAGGATGCACAGATCTTAGGATCCTAAGTAGACAGGATTATAGGCATAAGCTACCAACACCTGGTTCTACACATTCCCTTTTCAAAATTTTATTTCCTCAGCATTTATGTATGCATGTATGTATGTATGTATGTATGTATGTATGTATGTATGTATGTATCTGTCTATCTTCTTGTTCTTGGGGGGGCCAGGGCACTCTCCCTGACCTCTTTTGCTCAAGGGTAGTACTCTACAGCTTTGAGTCACAACACCACTTCTGGCCTTCTAGTGGTTAAATGAGGATAAATTTCCTGATGAACCATGATCCTCAGATCTCAGCCTCCTGAGTAGCTCAGATTACAGTGCTGAGCCACCAGCACACATATTCTTTAGTTACCATAATTTATAGCATAGAAGGGAATATTTTAAAGACAATTGAGTTACCATAATGGAGAGTACATGACAAAAACTCTTCTTTGTCTCCCCCACGGTATAACCCCTGCTTTCACTGTATTTGATCCTGGTACAGTATGTGGAGGGGAAGGGCAAAAACATATCGTTTAACTAGGGATACAGGTGGACCCATTGCAACAATGAGATGTACAAGTCATTATGTCGAAAAACGAACTTTACAGCTTTGGTGGGGGGGGATCAGGTGGGGGGTGGTAAGGGCAGTATGGGAAGGGATGGGAAGGGGAAACAAAGAGGAGGCAACAATGCTTGATAAGAGGTGTACTTGTTATCTTGCCCATGTAATTGTAACACCTCTGTATGGTATTCTCAGAATGAAAAAAAAAATCTTTTTTTCCCTAGGAAGAAACTTTTTCTTTATACTTGAACTAATACAAAGTCTGTTAAATTTCTTTTACCACTCAATAATTCAACTGACAGAATAACTCTAATCTTTGGATATACCCATTCATTCAGTTAAAAAGTATACAAAATGCTGGGGGCTAGATGTATGCCCCAAAGTTTCTGACTAACTGACTCTGTGTAATAATTCATAATAAGTATTGAGAGATGTTGGGAGCCAAAAGTTGAGTCTCTCAACATAATAGGCTTGACTATCTCACTGGAACATCTTGAGGCTGAGTTTACAGAATCCTACCCTCATCCTGCCCTAAGTAAACATCCTGCAACTGCTAACGACCAGCCTTTTCCCTTGCCCTAAGCAAACATCCTGCACTGCTATGGCCAATGAGAAAGCTTCCTTAACAGCGGATGGAAAAGCTTCCTTATTCTAAGCATATAAATACCCCTGTGTGGAAAAGAAAAATTGGCAGCATGATCAGAATCCTGTCATTCTTTGTGTCTCTTGTCCCTTCATTCCTTCTAGCTTAGGTTCACTGCCCTCGTTGACGTACTGCGGGTCGGGACAACTGGCGCCCAACGTGAGGCTCGAGCCCCCGACCCTGGGATTAAGAGTCCCATGCTCTACCGACTGAGCCATCTTCCCAGCCCCCTTTCATTTCAGCTTGTCCTGGACCCAAGTTACCATTTTCAGGGACAGCTCTTAGCATAATATTTTCCTTCATGGTATGTCCATTGCTCTTTAAAATTACAACTGTCTTTCTCATTAGATCAAATTATTTAATAACAGGTGTCTGTTTAGATTGTTTCATTCATGACCTCAGTACTAGTAACTCATCATCGTGGTAGTATAGATGAGCAGTTGCTACTTGCTGAAGGAATAGGAAGTACAAATTGCTGACTAATATACTCTGGGGAGAGAGCGGGGATTGAATATATAAAGCAAGTCTGTGCTTTGTATTACTGCAAAAACCTTTGAGCTGACACACAGAAGGTTTAAATGGGGCCTCTTACCTCAGTGACAATAGTGGAGTGGAAGTAGCTTTTGTCATACACCCAGCCGTCCACACAGGGCTCTGTTTCTGCCTCACTCAGGTTCCAGAAGGTGCTGTTCAGGTGGAGGAGCTGCCATTGGGGATGGACAAAGCGCCGGCACTTCTCTGGCCTGAGGTTGGAGTCGAGTGGGATGGAGATTCTCAGGAGGTCCTCCTGGCTGAGGAGCCCAGTGCCATTGTCAGAGAGCGTGTCATTGTCGAGGATGCGCACCCAGCAGCGGTGCTCAGGCACGGCTGCCGTGAAGTTCTCCAATAGAACGTGGGGATATGCTATAAGAATTATGATGAAAAAAGAAAGTAGCTGAAGGATCTGGAATCTTCCTAGGACTCCAACATGCTCCAGTAGGACCTCGAAACCCATTGGGACTGAACAGGAATTCCCCCCCAAGGGGAATGTAGTGCTGCTATGAGATATATTGAGAGAAGAACACGTTTCCCTCCACTAGCCCAGCAGTGCTGCACTTGTCCCAACTCACTGTCTTCTCATTGGGCCCTGTCTCACCACTCTATGCCTGGGGAAGGAATTTCCTGGTCCTGTGGGTTTTGGCAGCCAGATGGCTTTACTAGTTACTAGAAGAGACTTTTTGTTGTTGGTTTCAAGGAATGACTGTGATCTTTGCACTTCTTGAGGAGCTGAGTGATTTTATAATCTAAAGGCATGTGTAAAATGTTGTTTTCTTTTTTTTCCCACCTTCTTCAGAAGAGGGACATTGGACACCCAGAAATTAACTGGTTTATTATATTTCTGTGCAAAAACCCGGAGCAGAGTAGAATTTTCCCTCAAGTTAATGAAAGATGTGGTTAGTTAGATATAAAGCAAAGTGGAATGGTGAATATTAATGCTGTCTTTTGGTTAGTGTTTAAATTCTTCTAGTCATGGTGCTTTTATAACATTTGAAATAGGGAAAAAATAATAGAGAAAGGGAAGGAGCAAAAAATGTATTTGTGTGTATGCTGGTCCTGGGGCTTGAACTCAAGGCCTGGGAGCTCTCCTTGAGCTTCTTTTGTTCAAGGCCAGCATTCTACCACTTGGGCCACAGCTCCATTGCTTGTGTTTCAGTGGTTAATTGCAGGTAAGAGTGCCACAGATTGGGCTGGGAAAGTGGCTCAGTGGTAGAGTGCTTGCCTTGCATGCATGAGGCCCTGGGTTTGATTCTTCAGCACCACATAAGCAGAAAAGGCCAGAAGTGGTACTGTTGCTCAAGTGCTAGAGTGTTCACCTTGAGCTAAGACCTCAGGTGAGTTCAGGCACAAGAGATCAGGCCTCATATCCAAAAAAAAAGAAAAGAAAAGAAAAGAAAAAGAATACAGCAGATATTCCTGATGGAGCTGGCAGTGAAGTCAGATAACATCCCCCTGACCAGCTAGGATTACAGGCATGAGCCAGTGATGCTTGACACCACTTCTCCTCCTCCTCTGCCCTCCCTTCTGGTTCTCCTCCTCTTCCTCCTCTTCCTCTTCTTAGTCCTACTCTTCTTCCTTTTCCTCTTCTTCCTCCTGCTACTATTCCTCTTCCTGTTCCTCTTTTTTTCCTTCATCTTCCTACTTTTCCTCCTCCTCTTTTTGTTCTTCTTCCTCCTCCTCTCTTTCCTCCTCCTCCTCTTCCTCTTCCTTTTCCTCTGTCTTCTTCCCTTTTTTTGGGGGTCATGGGGCTTGAACTCATCACCTACGAATGTATGTGATAAAATGTCCAGTCATGAAATAATATAAATAAATATAATTAAATAAATCTAAGAGGTGAGATGAAAAAAATAAAAACATCGGAGTGTGGTGTCTCACACCCATAATCCTAACTACTCAGGATGGGGAGATGGAGAGGATGATGGTTCAAGGCTAGTCTAGGCAAAGCTCATGAGATCTCACCATGACTAGTAAGAGTTGGGTGTGGCGGTGTGTGCCTATCCTCCCAGCTAGGTGGGAACACATATGTGAGCATCATGGTCCACAGGAGGCCCCATTAGACAAATTATGAAGGCAAAATGTCTGGAGATGAGGCTCAAGCAGTACAACACCTGACAGTTCAAACTCTAATATCACCAAAAGAAAAGCACAATAGAAATAAACACAAAGGGTGGGGGGAGATGGTGGTTTGGAGATATCCTACATTGCCCTGAATCTTTAAAAATCTGAAACAAATCAGATGAAGAGAGTAGTTAGTATACAGAAACTAGATGAATCCAGAATTAAGAATTTTAGATTCATGAAAGTGTCAATGGAACCTCACATAGGACTCTAGGCAAAATTGTAGAGAAAGGGGTAAAAGTACCTCCCTGATGTGTATGTGTGTGTGTACATATGTGTGTGTGTTTGCACACATTATCACACATACTCCAGTGCTGTGGCTAGGGTCCTGGGCCAGTATGCTTTCCTTTAGCTATCTGCCTCAAGGCTGATCCTCTACTGCTTGAATCATGGCTGCACTTGCAAGTGTGTTTTTGAGTAAGACTCTCACAGAATTTTCTGCCTGTGCTGGTTTCAAGCCATGATCCTCAGACTTGAGCATCCTGACTAGCTGAGGAGAGAAAAACTCTCTTTTCTATCGAAGTGTATTGCTTATAAATTCCTGCCTTGCTGTGGTGGCTTGGCTCCTGTTAAGGAAAAGAAGAACTGATCTGGGATTGAAAGATTAAAAATTAGAGTTACATTTTACAATTGCTAACTGCTGGTTTTGCTTTTGTAAACTTGCTTGTGCTAGCACTGACCCTTCCCCTCCCAGGAAATAAATAAAAAAAGTTTGGGAGCCTAGATGTTGGCCCTGGGACAAGCTCTGTTGTTGTAAATAAAGAACTAACAAGTAAATTCCCCAGGTGGCCAAATGGGACCCAAGATAAGAAACAAAGAGTATGCTCCTCTGCATTCCTGTGTAAAAATTCTCCGTTTAGAGGGCTCAAGATAAGGATCATCTGGTGAGCCCAACAAATTAGGCCAAATGTTAATTAATCACAAATCTGTGACTCCTAAACTCCCTAACCCTTATCTCCCAGAGTGACTATCTCTGTATTACAAAGAGTGTTATAAACTTCCCCTTGTAGTATGCTGAACCAATCCTGGAAACCTGGGGTCTTATGCTAATCCTATGGCTTTTGTCTTTAATAGTGCCTGTAACTGCTGCTGCTTGGGGCTTCCTGTCTGCCCTGGACAGAGAGCCCATTTGAGCAAACACCAAATAAACTCCTCTTGCTTATTGCATCTCCAGGCCTGGAGTCTGAGTTTTCCTGGGCGCCCTCCCATTGACGAAAGTATCCCAGAAATCTGGGGTCTTTCAGGATGATAAAGGATGTTGAAATGTAAGGTTCTGTCTTTAAACAGTTCTTTTTTCTTTTCAAGATGGAATTATGCCACACTCCAGACTATTCAAGATATAGCAGAGGGTGTGGACATACTTGATGATTACTTGTGTACTGTTAATCTTATTTCTAACTC